CTCATTTGCAAGATGAAAAAGGGTTAATCCTAGCGTGAAATCAAAGTTTGTTGACACAAAGTTCCAGTAAGGTAATTCAAGGATCAAAGTTATCTTCAAGTGGCACCATAGACACGCTTTCCTTTTTTTCCCACAGAAAGAAACGCTCGGAACGTGTCGGCATTCGACGTGAAATTTATTAACGAGACCTCCGTGTTCCGGCCACTTCAAAATTACAGATCTTTTTTCTCATGGAAACGTCGACAAAGTGGCGCTTTCATTAACATCGGATTTTTCCTATGGCATCATAAACATACTATCTTCGATTTGTTTATTAGCTTAGTACATCTATGAAGTCTTCGTTGGAAGTCCATGTAATACTCACCAGCTTCCTATTTGATCATTTTTTATTTTTGTTATACTATTACCTACATTATTTATTACGTCCTCCATTACGTGTCTCTGCATCCTCAACGCATCCCCATTTCTTCATTACCCACCCCTAAAATCACTAATCTAAATTCATTAAAATTACAGAAAAGTTTGTAGCGACATAAAGTCAGTCTACAGAGAGGACTACAATTTGTATTCGCTGATTAAGGAAGCAGACCGAGACGGAGCCAAAGATGTTCGAAGAGAGGAGACAGGAACCCATGTAGCCATTGTGTCGAAAAACGACAGTTCGAAAGCTGATTTCTGCACTTTGAAGAGCCGGGACTTTCGTCTTTTTCTCACGAGTGGCCCAGACAATTGCGTGGATCTGGATGTCTAGACGGTCGCATCCTTCGTTTTATTTTCTACGTTACAACCAAAAACACCGCTACATTCGTCGGAAACTTGGGCCTGTTCCTCGGCCACTTTACTTCTTCTAATTTCTTCTCTAAGCTCTTCCTGATAATATCTATTCGCTATTTAATCTGCTAATCTCACGTTAGAAGTCTCAATGAGATGTGATAGTCGAATGGTAAAATAAATACCAGATACAGACATATATGCAGTTAACAATTTAACTTAATACAAAAATTGAAAGAATTTAAAATTATTCGTAAATTAAACGAATTTTTATTTTATTTTACTAACTGAGTTAGTAAATTTTTAGTTACAGTGCTTGTACAATTTACTAAATACTAAGCTGTACAGTTTAGTAAATTGTGTAACACGACCTTCCACAAAAATTTGCACAAACCTCTTAGCGCCAATACTTCCGGTCGGATCTATAACGTCAAAGCGTCTGCCATTGTCTCGACCGGGGTCAGGAAGGAACGTTCCTGAGTAGAGAAAGAGCAGATCCTGAAAACGTGGCCCATCATGGGCGGCATTTGACCCCCCACGAGTCCAGCCAGAAGATACGCCATGGGATTTTTTCTATAAACACGGATAGAGAATCGGAGGCCGCATGCAGCGGCTATTTAGACGCGAGTAAACGGCACAAAGGGCTCTTTTGTACTGCGAACACGGACCGTTCGTGTTGCAACTGGACACCACATTGCATCACAGACATGCTTTAAGCTCGATTGCACGCTTTCGCTGCGAGCTGATTCGAGTCGCGAGCGGAAGGAAGCGAATCCTTTGCTATTTTATACTTTTACAGCGTGAGAACCATTTTAGGATCTAATGGTACAACGTTCAAAATGTAATATATCTTTTGGTTCAGATTTTTTGTTATTTATCTGTAAATTTAGGAATTGTGTTAAATGTGTGATGTACATTAAATGTATTAGCTGAATGTATTATATAGTAAATGTGTGTGTTGCGTGACAAATATATAATTCATACTAGCAGCACCATGAGTAGCGGCACCATTTACTGTTCAGAGTTGAGAAGTTGACAGTGGACAAAAAGAATAAGGTCCCATATCATCATTGACGTAAAAATATATAAGTATGTGACAAAGTATGTGACAGAATATATGACAGAATATATGACAAAATATATGACAAAGTATATGACAAAATATATGACAAAGTATATGACAAAATATATGACAGAATATATGACAAAATATATGACAAAATAAATGACAAAATAAATGACAAAGTATATGACAAAATATATGACAAAATAAATGACGAAATAAATGACAAAGTATATGACAGAATATATGAGAAAGTATATGACAGAATATATGACAAAGTATATGACAAAGTATATGACAAAATAAATGACAAAATAAATGACAAAATAAATGACAAAATAAATGACAAAATATATGACAGAATATATGACAAAATATATGACAAAATAAATGACAAAATAAATGACAAAATAAATGACAAAATAAATGACAAAATAAATGACAAAATAAATGACAAAATAAATGACAAAATAAATGACAAAATAAATGACAAAATAAATGACAAAATAAATGACAAAATAAATGACAAAATAAATGACAAAATAAATGACAAAATAAATGACAAAATAAATGACAAAATAAATGACAAAATAAATGACAAAATAAATGACAAAATAAATGACAAAATAAATGACAAAATAAATGACAAAATAAATGACAAAATAAATGACAAAATAAATGACAAAATAAATGACAAAATAAATGACAAAATAAATGACAAAATAAATGACAAAATAAATGACAAAATAAATGACAAAATAAATGACAAAATAAATGACAAAATAAATGACAAAATAAATGACAAAATAAATGACAAAGTATATGACAAAATATACGACAAAGTATATGACAAAGTATATAACAAAATAAATGACAAAGTATATGACAAAGAATATCCTCAAAATTAATCCTCGACTTTAATTTTCGTGTCCTTAAAAATTAAACGACAAAATTTCATTTTAACAGAGAAGGGGATGAAGAATCTCAAGGATCAATTTTCAGGGAAGTTTCGGAAAAAGTGCATGCCGAAAAGCGAAGGAATTGTTTAAAAATGAAGGATCTGGAGCGCGGCGCCTTCACACGACGCTGGCCCTCCAGACGCCGGCGCCGCTTTCCCACAATTAAGAAGGCGCCTCGATATCTCTTGGCGCCTACCACGCACCACACGGCCACGCATTTACGCACGCGACTACTCGTGTATGCGCGTAATTGTGCGTACGTTCAATGAGAATACGACAGGAATAATAAACACGCGTGTCAGCTGACAAGCGTTGCGAATCTCCGTCGCGAATCCCGATGAACCTTAATGAACGTTCCTTATGAACGGATCTCTTCATAAGTTTATCAGATTTTTTAGAAATTACTATCTTATTTCAACATTAAGTATCTTGAGGGATTTGAAATAATTTTTGGTAATAGAGAAATAATTTTTGAAGCGGTTTCGAACGCTTAATTATGCAAAACTCAATGAAGGGGAGACTTTCGAAATTTCACGGTCGGAGGGTTCCCAGACGCGTCTGGAGTATGTTACTTTCGACTCATCGATGTTGCAGAGTGAAAGAGCCACGAGGATCTCGTCCTGCCGTTCGACGAGTAAAATGGATTGTTTTGTTTTCGTTTCTAACCCCGTTCCCACCCTGAAACCGATATGCGATCCAATAAACCGAACACACGTTTGACAACCTTGACGCGTTTCGATTTCCAAAAACTTGACAGACCCCTTCATCCACTTCGAGAACACCCACCGTAAAATATTCGAATACAATTTGTCAGTTGAAGTATCGAATTTTATTGAATTGAACCGAGGGTAGCTAAATGATCCAGAATTTAATCGCTGCTCGATTTTAGAGGCATCGTTCATGGTATGACTGGATTGGTTCGGTTGTTCAGCCAAAGGCGGGTCTTCTGTCTTCTCCTCCGCCCCAACGTTACTCACCACGTTATGGCTGTCCCGAGGCAAAAACAGATTTGCCATCTTAATCGTCCCCCCTCACTTCCGATCACCATAATTATTATCGTCGAGGTTGCTCGCATTTTTTTGGAAGCAGATACCCTGTTGGTCGGATCTTTCAATTTCTCGAATTAAATATGATTCATGGACCAAACATTTGTTTGCTACCATTTAAGAATCTTTAATTGACAATATATTTTCATGAATTACATTAATTTGCACCCTGATTGTTACTGAAAAAATGATTCAAGTTCAAAATTTCAAGTGAAAGCATTTTCAGTGAAATGAAATAAAAATTAAGATTTTAATTAATGTAACTCTATTTTATTACCTAATTTGCAATTCAACAATGTGGACAGCTCAAAGAATATTTCAGATTTATTCAAATTTTATTCGAACGAATATAATCAAGTTATAAACCTACCCTTACTTCTTTTTAAAAATGTACTATAAGTAGTCTCCAAAATAATGGAACATTAAACCCACTTTGAAAATATTTCTCACACGTTCAAATTTATTTATAGACTCTTCTTGAAGACAGCGAAAATTGAATAAATCATTTTTAAGAAGTACTCCAAGTAGCTTCTTCATCAATAGCCTCCAAAAAATCTGCCCCTCAAGTAATTTACCCCATCAGAAAATTTAAAGATTTCAAAAACATTTCTCATATGTTTAAACAAACCCCCAATGACCAAACTAATTCCATTCCAAAGTGGCAGTAATTAACCAAAAATCCGAAGCCACCCCTAAACTCCAAAAACATTTCTCATCTATTTAAACAAACCCTCAATGACCAAACTAATTCCATTCCAAAGTGGCAGTAATTAACCAAAAATCCGAAGCCACCCCTAAACTCCAAAAACTACTAGCTACATCGATAACCCCGAAAAAATATCCTAGTTCACTACAGATCTCGAAATCTAAGTATCTTAAAAATGTTTCTTACCTGCCGAAACAAATTAAAACGCGTGATCAGATAATCGTCAGTGCGACCACCCCGTAGAGCTGTTGGTTGTGGTGCTTGACAGGCAGATCGTGGCGTGGGTGTGCTGGTAAAAATCTCCGTTCTGGAACACCGCCACGAACACGCACACAGACACACGTGCACACGGATGATTGGTGGTGGTGTCCCAGTGTACCACGAGACCAACACTTGACTCCCTCGGAAGACCAAGTCACATTATACGTCTGTCCTCCGGCCTGACCGTTCAACCGTGACCATCCCTTGGCAGATTGCATCTCGCTTGACATTTAAACCGCGGTAATTCGTGAAACGAGACGAACGTGTGTCAACGTCGGCTCGTAACGGGCTCACTTGGATTTTATAGTTCCTCCATGCTGTTCGCGGCGCGTTTACGTCCCCCTTTATGACGTTTCGAGTGCGATTAACCCTCGAACAGGACGCTTCACGACGCAGCTCCTTCGAGTGCTTCTTTTACGATCCTTCGTGATTACCTAGTGAAATTTTCGCGTAAAACTCGATCACTGTCTTAGGAGTTTAATCACTGGATGTGCAAGACTTCTTCGCGTGAAAAATTTGTTATATGGTACCATAGAATTTTAGACAGTTTCTTTAAGAATTGAGGGATATAGTCAGTGCGACAGTGACAGTGTATTGTGACAATTGTTTCGGTAAGAGTGCAACATTCTCGAGGATGTATTAGAATGTTGTCTTCCTCGATTTCCGGAACACCCTTCAGCGTCCGCGACATTCTCAGCGAGGATCAGCAACTTGGAGCCATGGACTGCTACCCTTTACCCCATCACCAGCACCAGATTCAGCAGCAACACGTGCCTCAGGACTATTACGGATATAACGTCATGCAGGAGAACAATTGGGACGTGGAGAAGTTCAAGGAACAGTCGATGCCGACTTACCCTCATTATCCTGACTTGAGTCATGTTCAGAGCCAGATTGTTCTGCCGTATCAGGAGTCATCGGTTACGGAGGACGGTAAGTGAAACTTCATATATCTCCTTTCTTTTGAGGAGATAGACGAATATAATATATGACAATAGACGAATACAATATATGATAATAGACGAGTATAATATTCTGCGGGGTTGTTTCGCAGGTAATGTGGTCACTTCGAGCAAAACGGAGTTGAGGAAGAGCCAGTCGGGGAAGAGGACCAAACGGAAGCCCAGGGTGCTGTTCTCACAGGTAAATGAAGTTACAACCCTCTGCAATTTTGCAATTTTTAATACTTGTTAAACTAGTTCATCTCGAGAACGCAGATCATTTTCTGCTTTATCTTGAAAAGCGTTTAAGTGGTCCAGAAATCTACTTGCATCTTCCGAACACAAGTTTAAGAACACAAAATTAAATCAACCTATCCAATATCATTAAGAATGCTTCAAAATTGATTACAGACGCAAGTGTACGAGTTGGAGCAACGATTCAAGCAACAGCGATATTTAAGCGCCCCAGAAAGGGAGCTCCTAGCGCAAACGCTGAAGCTAACCAGCACCCAAGTGAAGATTTGGTTCCAAAATCGTCGGTACAAGAACAAGCGAGCGAGACTGGAAGACGCGGAGAAGCTCCAAGCTCAGAACATGAAGAACCAGTCCCTGAAGAAGATCCACGTGCCAGTATTAATCAAAGACGGAAAGCCAAACCTGCAGGAGTCCTACAACCCTCCGTACTGGTCCAACATCAGGCCAGACTTGAGCGTTTCCATGCAACCGGATTTTAGAATCAGCGAAATTCGTCTGAGTCCCGACTTTAGGCCGCCGAACGACGCGATCAGTTCCGAATTCAAACCGGAAATCAATTCTGAAATGTGCGGAAAGAACCTGAACGGCGATATACAACCTTATAGAAACAATTTGGATCCCCGACCAGGCGTTCACGATTGTCACCGGCAGATCAAGACGGAGTACAAGGTAAACGAAAGCAGCAGCGAGGTGCCGCCATTCCCGGACCTGAAGAACATCCCGACGGACTCGAAACCGATGATCAGCGACGGGAGACCGATCATGGACGTCTCCAGCAGCGATTACGGCTTCTCGAATTATCTGGGCCCTCCCAATTACCAGATGCAGTACGTGAATTACATGGAACAGGTGCCCATGGACCAGAATTTGCAACGACTGTGGTAGAACGCGTGGTGAAAAGACTGTACCCACTGGTGGGAACTCGCCTTTTGTAGCTGGAGCCTGATTTAATTTTTTACAGTACACTTTCGTTGTATTGCGATACGAATAGCCGTGACTTGAACAGCCATCGATGTAGTCAGCGATATATTATAATGGCGATATTTGATATTGCAGTGACTATTTAGGATAGTAAATATATTCTGATAGGAGCGTCTCGGTGTAACAGTGGCAATATAACGAGAGTGTGCTGTATTTATAAAATCAATTCGGCGGACAGTTTGCATCCACAACTTCTATGAACATGTAAATTGTCACGTGCGTATCAAACAAGTTTAGTTGCAAATTTAGTGACTAGTTTCCCAAAGAAAAGAAGTGCGAAACGTTACCAAAAGGTAGCCAAAGATTAATCACTTAGGGTGTAACTTTTAATCATCGCGATTCGATAGCTTTAAGTTCGAGATAGTTAAGGCAGCTGTGTTTTATATATATATTTTTTGTCTTCTCTCTTTTAGTTAGATAAGTTACCCTCTTCGAAATAGTAACGCTGTTCAAGAGGCCCGAACGGAAATTGCTTCAAGTGGCCTTTGCGGAAACACCAGTTACTCCGTATTCCGCAGACCTGGTGTTTCTGGCTCCATCTTTTTTTCGTCCTTTTCCGTTTCCCTCGAGCGTGAACCTCTTTTCGAGAAACTGCGATCTCATTGTAATTTTCCAATGTGCATTCGAGGCATGGACGATGTGACAATAAAGTATTAAACCTATGGTACATTATTTTTATCATTTATCGTACTGTGTTCTCCTTTGATTTTCCTACGAATGATCTTGTCAAATTTTCTGATCAGGAGATCGCTTTGAGAACTCTTTAATTTTCTTCGGTTTCACATATTTTCCTTCGAACTTCAATTTGGAATTTTGTTACCGTGAGTCATTTGAAATTTTCGAGATTTTCCATTGCGACGCGTTAATATCCTCTGGTGGGCAGTCCTTCCGGCGCGTAAATTCGCCGCGCAGCTCGATAAAACCGAAAATATGGCGAAATGGCATTTATAAATAGGTGAGTTCTGACAGCTTGAGCGAAGCCATGGGTGCCTTTTAGGTTATCGCGCGAGCACGACGGGTCATCTGGCAGTCAAGTGCCTTCACATAGACGATTCAACGTCGGCGTAATCGTTGTTCATGGTGCTACCGCTGCCATAAAGGACCATGGGAACAAGCTGATAAAAATGTCGCTGCTGATATGTCGGGGTAGGGCCCCGGGCAGCTCACGTGGCTTTCCCATACGCTCTCACCTTCTCGCAGACCACCATTTCCACCGGGAACTGCTCCGCCTCTGTGCACCTGCACGCACCTGCCAGCACTTGTTACTCCTGGTCTGCTCCGTTTTACTCTCTGGACGAGTTCCAGATGCGAGCCACCAGTTACAACGACCTCCAACTAAGCGTTAATTTCAGCTTCCAACCCCGCGATAATGTTGCTGTTAATTGGTCCGCTCTTTTTTCGGACCGTTCGGTCGCGATTCGCTTGATTTATGTTCCAACGAATGATTTATCGTTGATGGGAATTGCTTGATTAAGACTGGTGTAAATCATCCCGAATAAGATTGTACCGCTTAATTGTGGTCGTTCGCGCCGGATTTCTGCGGCAATTTCGGCGAGGAGGTTTGGGTAATAAATATTTATAGAACGCGTGGAAATCTAACGCAAGGTGGTATGTGGATAGTGGAGAGTCCGCAAGGTCACTGATTTGCAAATTTTGAGAATTTGCTGATATGGAAATTTAGAAATGTAGGAATCTATGGAACTAGAAATCTGGAATTTTGAAATCTTGCAATATACGAATCTAGTAATCTAGCAATCTAGTAATATACGAATCTAGCAATCTACCAATCTAGCAATCTAGCAATCCATCAATCTAGCAATCTACCAATCTACCAATCTACCAATCTACCAATCTAGCAACATATGAATCTAGCAATCTAGCAATCTAGCAATCCATCAATCTAGCAATCTAGCAATCGACCAATCTATCAATCTAACAACATATGAATCTAGCAATCTAGCAATCTAGCAATCTAGCAACCAGCAATCTATCAATCTATCAATCTAGCAATCTATCAATCTATCAATCTATCAATCTATCAATCCATCAATCTATCCATATATCAATCCATCAATCCATCAATCTACTAATCTATCAATCCATGAATCCACCAATCCATGAATTCACCAATCCACCAATCCACCAATCCACCAATCCACCAATCCATCAATCCATCAATCTACCAATCTATCAATCCACCAACCCACCAACCCACCAATCCACTAATCCACCAATCTATTAATCTATCAATCCACCAATCTACCAATCTACAAATAAAAAATATAAAAATTAGAATTGAGAAATACAGGAATCTAGAGATTGCGGAATGCAACTAAATGCACGAAACAGAATTTTCCAGCCCGTCCGTCCGGCCCGAATTCTAAAAGCCCCATTAGGATGTCGTGTACTCGCATAATCAATCACCGGACGTTCAACGCTGAAACACGATCTTATTTGCTTGCAAAAGGAACCATCATGGAAAGGCTGATGCTGTGCAAATAGAGACACGAGTGCATATGCATAAAGTTGTACGTGGATCGTTTGGATTTATTTAGAGACGATCCTGTCCTTCCGGCGCTCATTAATCATACCGTGACCGTCATACTCCTTCTTTTTCAGACTGAATCGATGCATTATATTACACGATACTCATCAAGCGTTTCAAATTATTCACAATCAATTTTTACTGTCCAATAAAAAACTTGTAGTGTATAGTCTTCGTTATGTAATGTTGCAATTAAATTTATGGAGCAGGATTGATTTTAATGATTTAACTCTGTGATTGAAGTGTGTCAATGATTAATTACGGTCTACCGAGTTAGAGCGTGACGTCAATGATCGGAAATGTGACTTCACGAAGTTCTAGTTGTAGTTACGAAGGTTTTGCTTCTGAATTATAGATTCATGAATTTTTATCTTGAAATTTTTCAACATAGACACAGTTAAATTTTGATAAACTTTTCGTTGCTATTTCTATCAGTTTTTTTTTAAATTAATTTCAGTGGTTCTCGTATCTGCGGTCGGTAAGGTAGGAGACTTCGGACAGACATCTACTTTATCTGCTGAAGACATGGTAGGTTATCTATTTTACCTACAGTCGGGAACTAAGAAAGCTTCGAGCTTTCTCTACATCGTTCATATTCTACTGCACTCTATGTTGCAGAGTGAGAAAGATATTCTACTCTTTATTAACACTCAATAAGTTATTTCTCATTTTTCTAAATATAAATTCGGTTTGATTATTATCTCGAAATTACCTGCTATTTAAATCAGTGGTTAATTGGACACTAAAGTAAACTTTCCATAATCCAAAATAGCTCAGCTGTCATTCGCCTTTGAAATCCTCATTAATGCTAGAATCTAGGTATAAACGTCCGAAAATAGTTCCAATAAACCATCCTATCCACAAACTACCGGAACCATTAAAAGAACAGAAATTTCTGCTGTCATCTCAGCGCGCAGCAATCAACTCTAACAAGCAACGTGCTCCAATTCCAGTTTCAATTTCCCTCGACTCCATTATCAAACTCTTGCATTTAAAATTTATAAAACTCCCTCAATCCAAATTCACCAGCTCAAGGGTTGCCAAAATTAAAGTGATCAAAGTTAATAAAAAGAAAGGAAGTCCCAAACAGTATCGAAAGCAATTTGGTTTTTATAGCCAGAACTGTAGCGTATTGAATGAACAGCAAAAGATCGAAGGAGAGGAGGCAGGACGCAAAGGTAAACGCAAAGGAGCGAGGATGAAAGGAGAGGAAGAAGTAAATGAGCGAGAGCGGTGGCGGCAGCGTATACTAAGCACTAATATTACATCTCTGAACTGACAGACGTGCGGACTTTAAAACCCAAGACTAACAAACAGTTAGCAGTCATCCGGTCTTCTTGTTTTTATATTCTTATGCCCGCCCATAGAGCACACGCACCGCTCGCGGCTCTTTCGACCCCCGATGTTCGTTACTTTCGTACGTGTCGTCGAAAACGCCAGTTACCGTCGCCCACAAATTTCCTGTCGATCTTCGAGGAATCCGTCTCATCTCTATTTTACGTGCCGCAGTCTGCTCGCTTCGCAGACACTGCCATTTTAACCCTTTGAGTACCGAATTATTTCAAGATTTTTATGAGGCGGATTTAATTCGTGGCTGTAATATATAAAAGTAATACATGCTTCTTGAATTCAAACGACGAGTGAGACCGTAACTTCCTCCGAGTAGACAGATGAGTCTCACTCGTCGAATGTACCCAAAGGGTTAATTTATGCGAACGAATATACGTTGTCACAAATAATTCCACAAATCGATCTTCTACAGCTTGGTTCGATACTCAAAGATGCACTCTGCCATGCTGAGTGCACGAGATAGAAAGAGTTCCATAAAATTTCCGGATCTCAGCTGCGGCTATTTATAAAGCGCGAAAGAAAGAGCGATTTTAGAGCGGTTACGACCGGTCAGTCGAAAGTGGTCGGCAATCCCGTATTCTCTAGATCGCTCGAAAGGGTAGCAAGGGGTGGAAAAAAGAAATATCCGAGTGGTGGAATCGAACTCGTAAGAAAAGCGAATCGCGAAGCAAGTACAACGACGAAGAGGGGTAGAGAACTGGTCTCGGAGGGTAACTGAAATAAGGTATAATTTTCCGCGCCAATTAAGGTCTTTAAGAATTGCGACCAATTGAGCGGGAGGGTCAGGGCTCAGCTTTAGGGGAGAAGATGTACCGCCATCCCCCTATAATTTATTATTGATTAGATCGAATCGAGAAAAAGAGAGTCGAAGACCTGGATCACGCAGCTTCGTCTTCAAGATCGCCTTTTCAAGACGGAGTTGGCCTTATCTGACCCTATGCTCATAGCCCTCGAGTAATAGGGAAATGATGGACTTCGTTTTTCCGGTTCGATTACTCGCCACCTGCTAATTGACGAGGAGCTGACGAAAAACGAATGCTACTCTTTTAAGGTTCAAATTCTGGTTCTTGAATGATTTTTTCGGTAATCCTTTACAAGTATAAATTCATCACGTATGACTGAAAGATATTTCTTTATATATTTATCTGAAGATATTTATATTAATCACACCATGTCTGTATAATTATATGCCATGTCTGTATGATCAGCTAACAGGGTGAAAGTACAGAGAAACATAATGTGTCTCGTTCTTAATTAAGACTGAATTAACCCCTTGCCGTGCCATTTATTTATGAGGTGCGTCAGCCAAGACTAACCATTCAGGACTATAACATTAAAACGAACAAAGAAAATTAAAATGTTCTAAGTATTTTATATTCAGGGATCCTTGACAACGCAAATTATAGTTGGATTTAAAATTCAAGTTGAAGAGTATTCAAAATTTGAATAACATTAATCACATTTGAGTTGTGAGTGCGTCACGAGTGAGACTCGTCAAAGCACGGGAAGGGGTTAATTCTATTTGAGGTTTCATTTCAAAACAGAAACAAGAGCTTCAAAATAAGGGTCCTCTCCTAATTTTTGCAACTATACTCAATACTTTCACGAGTAACCCTAAGAAGTATCTACGAAAGTGTACAGCCCTCTAGTTATATAATATACTAAAAATGACAGTCTAGTCGTAAACGGAATTGCAAGAAATATCGCGAAAGGAACGTAGAATTATTTCCTCGTCGATATCTGGAACGCGTACGAGGCCATCATCGGATCAAGTGAGGCGTGATCCACGCTCCTGTGGTTCACACTTAATTAAACCGCCATAGGAACTCGGCTGACAGCACGTGGCGGACAATGCTGCAAGTCTTTAGCGGCGATTGTTATGTAAAGCACACCCTATATATGCACCGCGTTGCTTCTCTCGACTCGATACGAGACGAAGTACGTGGAACTGGCTTCTGTATCTACGTACATCCGAGGAACTTTTTCGAAGTAGTCTAGGTACCTCGCCGTTTATCGCCCTTCGTGATGAAAAGGTTCCTCGAGTTACTTAAATGGTATTAAATGCAATTTGAATAATAGAATTATCCTTGTCCAAATAGTTCAAAGAAAAGTTTCAGGACTCTCGTTAAATGTTTAGCAATGTATGTACATCATATTGTTACACTATTTATTGAATTTCGAAATATGTATCTATTTCCTTGCATGCAAATTAAACTACTTGTGATAAAGACATGCAGACTTCTTAATTTGCAAAAAATTCCTTAATCATATTATTCAATTAGAACAATTTAAAGTATATGATTATGAAAATAGTTCATAAATCTCCTATGTTAAAATGACGCTTGCAATAAATATTTCATTTAATTCAACATAGGCGACGAGATAGTACGTCCAAGTAACCAGCTGAATCACGAAAGCATGAGACTTGTAATAATTTCAAATTCAAATTCCGACTGTAAGTTGTAGCAGTTTCATGGTTGAAGCATCATCAAAATTTCGCCGAATAGTTTCACGCAAGGGGTACTTTCTGGAAGTAGAGCTCCTTTCGTTTCGAAAGTCTCGCAACCCTTCGACTACCACCCCTCGACGTCGCTACCCTGAAAAAAGCAGCGGAGGATCCCACTCTGGTCTCGCGACTCGTCGCCACGAAGCCGACAGAGCTTCTAGGAATCGTGGATTGGCTCGATGGTAAAAGCTACGACCCGGAGAGTCGCGGGGATTGGTTGTAGGGCGAGGCTTGCGTCGTGACGGAAGCGTCGCCAGAGCACCCGCGTCCAACCTGGACTTCGTGTCAAGCTCCACCTACGCTCCGACCCGCGAAACTCGAATTTCCGCCGAGCGTATTCCGCTCGAGACGACGGAAGCGTAATCGTCGCGCATTTGGTGCTCGAAAGGGGTGAACGCGAGGGGTAAGTTACGGGCTGCAAAACGAAGACTACTTTCATTTGTTAATCCTACTGTCGTTTTTTGAGGAAGATAGTAATTGTGTTTATCTGATACTTAAGGAGTTATTAAGGGATGATAGTGTAAGGGATAATTGTACAAAGATGATGAAAAAGTAATTGTCGAAGTATGGTGAAGATCTTCAAAATCTTTTGACACTGTTGATTCAAAATTAAGAGGTTCAGATTTGATGTAGATACATATACAAGATCTTAAGTCGATTAGAAAATTTGTATCAAGATTTAACAAGCTGATTGTTGTTGCTACAGTTATTTCATAGTAAGGCCTCCGTCAATATGAATACAGGTAAACAAGCAGATAATACCACCTTATTTCGTGTTAGTTTAGTTAGTGACAATTTTACCCTCCTCACAATAAAATAAAATTAAATCTAAGAACTTCACTGAATCATACACAACCTTGAAGACCAGTTTGACTAACCAAAAGTACATAAAAAGTAGCAACCCCATAATTGCCCTAAACATTCCATTTACTAAAGCTCCCAGTAAAATTCATTAATTCTATTAATTTTTTAATTCCAAAAATTTACAACTTGAAAATTAACAATATGTGGGCGAATTGTAAAACGAGATTGAAACAGTTTGCAGCGAAGGCCAATTGCACGAGAAACATCGTTCAGCCATTCATCCGAAGGATCAATTTAAGTCAGCCAGTTAGGCGGGGGAGAGGGTTAAGGAGCAGCCAAGAGACGCGTGAAAAACCGTGTCCTGAAGATCGAAAAAGGAGCAGAAAGAGTAAGAGGAATGGTCGTAAGTCGCGATCGACGAGAACCAGAGAGTGGAGGGATGTTTGGCTGGTGGGGGTGGCTGGCATAGAAGGGGAAGATAGCGGGGAAGGGAAGAAGGAAGCTGACGGCGAAGTGGCCGCAGACTAATTCGAAAAATAAGTCTCCACGCGCGACAAGCACACTTGACCGAAGCACACTCGCCGCGAAAGGGTGCACGCGGTCCGCCTCGAGTGCTCGCGAGTGACAATTAATTATTTCTACCGTTTCGCGAACGTGGAATTACCGTGACTTCCCTCTTGAAAAGTGCACGTGACAATTTTCTGAGGATCGAGACAAGTGTAACGATGCAACCTGAAAGTTTACCTCTTCGTGAAGAATGACGGTTAAAAAAATGAAAGAAGCTAACTAGTCTTTCCAGAAAGAAGGACGATCATTCTTCAAATTATCCAAACCATAACTGAAAGTATAATTGAGAGTATAATTATAAGAAGATATGTCAGAGATCATGGACGAAGAGAAAAGCGAGACTTCTCCAAAACCCTCTCAACTGACCCCCTTCAGCATCGCGGACATCCTCAGTAGAAGAACCTCTTACCCCAGCCACGAACGACGGTCTTCAGAGTCGGAAGAAGCACACGCAGCGTCGTTCGCCAAGAAACGAGACTATGATTCCTCCGAAGGCGAGTACAAAGAAGGTCAACTGGACCAGGACCCCAATCAGATGGCTCGATTTTCACGGCTGTCGTCGCCCGATCTCAGCGTGGCTCGTGAGCTGGATATATTAACCAGGAACCTGGTTCACGCAAACATCACCAGTTTCGGCACTATTCCACACCTGTCACAGGGGACGTTTAAACACCTTGAGAGTCTGGGGAACATGGCTACTTATCAGCCGGTCAAGGAGAGGGAGGCCTCGCAGAGGCAGCAGGACGAGGCGCTGGATATGAGCAAGAATAAATATTTGGGTGAGTACGGATTTTACTAGAAGCTTTGAAGGTTGGTTACTAATTTGTTATGTAACTGATTGGTTACTAAGTTTAATGGGGAGGGTTGGTATATGGTGGGAGACATTTTTGATGAGTTGCTATCTACTGTATATGACACAGTTGCTACCCTATTACCTATACGTATTCATATACACTTTGCTGAAATTTGGATACATCTGGCAAGTAATATTTCTTGCACGTGAAATATAAAATAGAAAGCTTTAATTGTAGAATAGAACCTTTCACATAATCACGATTACACTGTCTTCCTACGCATGGTCGTTTCCACTGCGTCATTGAAGCCACTACTTGCACATCTCGTCCACTACAGCTTCGAGGTATTTTCATTGATAAAAATTGGATCTAGGTCTGAAACTATGAAACAAACCAGTAAGAGATCCAACCATATCGATGACCCAATCCGTCGATAACTAAACAGAAGCGAATTAAGAGAGCATGTACTTAGATGTCGAGTTCCCGTTGCATCCTCCGTTCCCTTCTGGGTGATCGTGTGTCTGCCACGAGGATGCAAGGCTTAAGAGATCATTTAGGCCTCCCCGGTATCCTTGTAACAGGCGAGCTTTTCAAGGGTTTTTTAAGTTAACCCGAGCGCAGATAACGTGATCGAATGTAATTTTAGTAGCATAAGTGGTGCTCGACCAGGCAGACGTCACAAGTGGCCGCCACTCTGCTTCTTGCACTTGTTCGATCCCTGGCCACACTGTTGCTCTGTGTCTTGGATCGCCGCAAAAACAAATTTAGATCAAGGTTACCGGGACTGATTCCGAAGAAATCAGTTTTCTTTTGTCGAAAGGGCTTGCACGGTTCCAATTATGCTCGCTGTTGATTCGCGAAACAGTTAGCTAACGCGGGACCTGCAATTAAGTAATTTCTTCGTACCTGGGACTAGTTCGCGACAAATGCCGGGGGTGAAGAACAGGCACGACCTGGCACCGATTCAAGAATCACTCGGCAAATTACGAATCCCTCTTTTACCCTGCTACGGCTATCACTTAATACGGTAATGGACCTACGAAGCAGTTTTGTACTGGGTTTACTTCTGACCTCTTTCGCTATTAAGTTTTTAGGAAACGTAAGGGTTGACACGTGTTAGCTATTGATAGTCTCAATAGCGTCATTGAATTATTAGACTAATAACTCCGATCGTGATCTTCATATTAATTCTATTAGAGTTGACTTATTAAATCGATAAAGTCAGAATTTGAACGGATTCACCCCTAATGTTGGCCATCGTCGATGCACCAAAATCAATCTACACAATGTGTACAGACATTGACAATAATATAGCGTATATTGTTTTTTGATGAAAATTTGTACAACGCAAGTTGAAATTGTAGAGCATCAAGTTGCTAGTTGACCGTCGGTACCACTGTGATCGCAACACAGTCGTCATAGTGAAAGGATTAATATTTATAGTAAACTACCCCTGTTTAAGAGTGAAATCTCAAACTAATCTGCGTTATCACTGTCCAAGGTTGACGTCACTGTAGCGAATCACCCCCTACTATTATATTTCTCTATGCAGTCAAAACCTAAAGTCCACACTGTCATAGCGAAAGGGTTAATATTCCCAACCTATCATCTCTAATCTATTAATCTCTGTTACCAAGAACCTAAACCTCAGAACCACAAACAACCCCTTACATCTTTCACCTAACCAGAACTTTAACTTATCACCTCAGTAGTTTTGTCTTCCCCATCAGTATTAACGACTATTAACGACCATCAGTATTATGTAAATGATTATGAAAGTCCACGTAATTCATCATATACCCTAAGAGACCCTATTACGTGAAAATAATCAGCATTCTTGGCGATGGAAGACCCTCGTAAAAGGATAAGGTTTCATTTGACCAGCGTTTAAGGTCCATATCAATTTATTTGAAAACGATGAGAGCAATGCTTGGAAGGTGTACGAAGAAGGGTCATCTCGATGTAATCGGAGTGAGAGCAAACGGCACTTGCTGCTCTCGAACACTCTCGATGTAGGACGCGTAGGAGATGTTTGACGAGCGTCAGAGGAGGGACGCATTAGCTGGACGAGATGGCATACGAGTTGACGTCGAAAGTGATCAAATATAGATCTCTCTAAATGCTTTGGGTCCCCCGAACGGTAGCCACTGCTGATAAACATTGACGCAGGATGGGGAAAACGACCTGGACCACGTACGAAATAATTATGATGTCAGACTCGACTGTTTTTCTATGTGGAATTTTTGGATTGGAGCTTGATTTATGGATTGCAGCTAGGGAGAATAGAACCTTGAGGAAAATTTAATATTACAGTTCTTCGAAGTTGCAAGGTCTTTAAATTTCCAGACCTCCAAATTTTCAAGTTAATTCCTAAATTCCAGATTTCTACATATCCAAATTCTGAATAGACACCTAAACCCCAAATTTCTAGGTTTTCCAATTTCCGAATCCTAACGTTACCAAATTACCCACTTGCCAAATGTCTGAGTGCCCGAATTTCTGAGATACGAAAAGTCCCGATTTCCGAATTCCAAAATCCCGACTTCCAAGCTCCCAACTCTAAAATATCCAAATTCCTAAATTCCCAACTTCCTAACTTTAACAAATACGTTCAAAAATTGATACAACCCGTAAGAAAGAAAAAATAGTAGGAAAGTATCGTTGGTTAATAACAAAGCTTGGAGCTAAAAGCGCTCGATGCCAGAAGCTCGGAAAACAAAGTGACCGAGGGGGAGAATTTCAGGAGGTACACACACGAGCATGCACTCGATTGCAACCGGTTAAACTTAGAGGAGAATTACCGTGGAACAGCAGCGTAAACATGTCGGAGTAGCGAGTGCACGTGTTAATGTTTGAACGAGACATCAAAAGCGGGCGGAACTCTCCGATCGTTCGTTCGCCGCTTCTATGGCTGTCCGAGGATGGTTACTCCATCTTCCTCCTCTCCTCGCGCGGGAAAACGTTTGATTTATGGTCCGCGGTAGATCATCGGTTGCCAATCTACGTGTTTGTTTGCGCTCGAATTTGCTGAACCTCGAATCGATTTCCTCTTTAAAGTCCGCCTTTAACGAGATCGAGCGGTGCGTCATACGCGAGAATATCTGAGCCAAGCGTCTCGTTTCTTTTGCAGAGGACGGAGAAGAGGATATGTTCGAGGCACAGAATCATGGACAAAATCTGCAGAGCAGAAAGAAACGGAGCAGAGCGGCCTTTTCTCACGCGCAGGTTTACGAGCTCGAGAGAAGATTCGCTGCACAGAAATACCTGTCGGGGCCGGAGAGGGCGGACCTCGCGAGAGGACTCAAGCTGACGGAGACGCAAGTCAAAATCTGGTTTCAGAACAGACGGTACGGGACTCTTTGTTACTTCGCATTTTTGTTATTTGAAATTTTTGGTAATTTAGGAATTACTCGTTTGGGGAGATTTATGATTGCGTACGATTCCAGTTTGATTCAATTATATTCTTCTTCTTGTTCCTGTGTCATTGCACATATGTTACGTATGTTATGTTAGGACACTTATGGTGTATGCATAATTACATACATTTATGATACACTATACTTTATACATTTTACATTAGACATTAAATGATAGACATTGCACATTGCACATTGTTCAGTTTACATTATGCATTGCACATTATATGTCACACATTAGATACACTTAAGACATAGTACATCATATATTATACATACCATTATACATTTTACATTAGACATTAGATGATGGACGTTACACATTGCACATTGTTCAGTTTATATTATACATTGCACATTACATGTTACACATTGCATGTCACACATTAGATACACTTAAGACATAGTACATCACATATTATACATACCATTATACATTTTACATTAGACATTAGATGATGGACGTTACACATTGCACATTGTTCAGTTTATATTATACATTGCACATTACATGTTACACATTGCATGTCACACATTAGATACACTTAAGACATAGTACGTCATATATTATACATACCATCATACATTACACGTTACATATTACAGTTGCATTAATTAATAATTATATGTATATACACAATTAAAAAGAATTGATCTGATTACAGATACAAGACGAAGAGACGACAGCAACAGGAGCTAGGCGCGTTAGTTAATTCCGGAAACGCGAGGCGCGTGGCTGTACGCGTTTTGGTGCATCCGGACGAGCATTTGAGGGGATTGCCACTTCGTGGTTCCGGCCAACTTCCCGGGCAAATGTCTGCCCCGCAAATTCATCCCGCGAACAAAGCGCTCAGTGGTTTCCCGTACTACTGTCTCCCCTATCATCCCCTGCTCTGCCCGCCCCTTCACTCTACTCATATTCAGGTACAAAACACGATCACGCCGGACCTCGATCCGAGTCAGTTGGCGAAAATGAACGACGAGAAATAAATCGTTGATGTTGAAACCCGTGGTCGCTCGTTCGAATCCAGTTATCGATTGTGGATACGTAAACCGACCATTTTGTCGTTCTCCAAAGCGGATTATTTAATTCGTGACTCTTGTGTTAATAACTGGGTAACCTTTTCGTATTTAGAAATTTATCTTTTCACATATTTTTTATTGTTCGATGTGCCTTTATTTCAAGGTACTTAGTTCGGTGTACACTTTTATTGACATAAGGGTTAGTAGCGGTAAAACTAGTCCATCCGTTGCTCCATCTTGTTTGTTGCATTATTGGAAGTTAATATTCGAAATATTGATTCGATTTGTAATTATATTTTTAACGGGGTCGAAGACATTGCATTGTAAACCTGAATTACACACGAGACATTCTACTTCCATGTATTATTCCAATCACGATACTGCGAACGGTTAAAGAGCACAATTAATCTCGTAGTGTACAATTCTAATATGCGTTATACCTACTTATAAATATACGCAGTCTAGGAAGAGGATCGTGTAAATTAGCGTGTAAATAATTGTATAAAATAAAACCGAGTCGAACGGTATCGGTGAATATTTATTCTGAGGCCTCAAGACGTTCCACCAAATCCGTGCACATCGTACAATTATCTCGGTAGAGAACTATATTCGCGCGGTTCGTTGAAAAGGTTTGGAATGTGTCCATAAAACGAAACGAATTCAATTAAGAGATAAAACAGAAGCGTTTAAGAAACGATCAACAGCGTTCTTGGTGGCTCGCGTGCAATAAAACCGATACCGATTTAGCGTAATTACACCATTGTTTCTGCGTACCTATGTGATGATACAGATTTATGCAAATATACATGGTTCATTAAAAAAGAAAAAAAGCAAGAGTGTTTGTACGTTTTTACCCCCTTAAAGAGGCCTCGCTCGAGCATCACGGAGGAGATCGTAAAAAATTTGACGTGCTTGACCCGAGACATCTTTCAAACAAGTGTATACCTCTTTTCTCGAGCTACGGCGTGTTATTTTATGCTTGTTTCTGAGAGCAACGTGGAGACGTCAACATTTTTTGCCTTATAAAGATCCATTCGATGCTGAGAGATAAAAAATAAACGGAGCAACTAATCTTCGTACTGAATTTGTCAACTGAATCACTTAACCAAGTTACTTTATTCGTTTTGTCATTGGAGACGTATTTTCTCTTTGGAGACTTATGTGACATCGTTTAATCTCACAGACAATTTCTTTTGATTCAGAAATCTAGAAGAAAATAAAAGGTCAGGGGTTTGTTTGAAAGGTTATGATCTAAAAGGTTGCAGCGATGAAAAGGTTGCAAATATAAGTTACAGCTCTGTTCTGACAAATACAGATTTGATGTGGTTCTAACAAAGATTTTGCGGAGTGCAACTGATTAATTAAATTGAAAAGTCAACGCGAATATCAGATGGAACTGACTTTCCCATAAGAGTTTTAATAGCTCCATCTGGGTGGGCCCGACAGACATCAGATATGTTTATTCAGACGCGGAGACGAGCAGACTTAACCGACGGACAGAGGAAAAAAGGCTAGATCTGACACTCATCTGTTATAAACAAAGGAGTTACATTATCCTCCTCAAAAGGGCCTTTACGCCTCGATCTGCATAAAAAGGAGTGAGTGTTCAAAGAACACGCCGCTCGGACCCCTCCGAATCGTCCAAAGTCATCTTCCTCGTCGGAACACTTTTCTTAGCTCCATTCCTTTCTTCCACTTGCACTCGAGCATTTATTATTTAAAACTATACTCTTTTATTAGTTGTACTTGAATCACGAGATAACATTTATTTAGTAGGAAGATGAGGAAGAAGATGTGGAACAAGAGGACCTTGCATCTTGTTTACTGAGTAGGCAGATGATAATCTTTATTAAATTTGGTGTAGCATTTTGCTAAAATGTTCTACGAGGTAAGCTTCAATGTTAAACATGATAATATTTATTAAATTTGGTGTAGCTTTTTGCTAAAATGTTCTACGAGGTAAGCTTCAATGTCAAACATGATAATCTTTATTAAATTTGGTGTAGCTTTTTACTAAAATGTTCTACAAAGTAAGCTTCAATGTTAAACACACATTTATTGAAGGTAAAGTTGACACACAAATTGGACAAATCTGACAAAAGTGACATTGCATTTCGTATAAGTAAATCAAAGAATAAATGAAATTTGTTAATCCTATTCGTGTTAACACTAAACCTACCAGCATATAATATGTACTTAACTCGAAATTAAATATGAAGTTGAAAAATAGATAAACGAATTAGTGCACGCATTTATTCTTTATCTAAATCAATGCTGATTTAAAGGAATGTATTTTTGCAAAATGTGTACCTTATAATAAGAAACATGTGGAGCCGTCATTTTGTTTGGTAGTTTCAGTGTTAATGTCAGTGTATCATTAAAAAAAATTGGACAAACGAAAGATGGAATTCGAAGGTAATTAAAATCGTTGGCAGGTAGACCATCAACGACAAAGTTGACTCGTAGGAACGAGCCAGAGATCGGTCGGAAGATGGATTTTATAGTCGTTTCTGCAGTCCATTACTGCTACGTTTATATCGTGTTCTAAACATTCGAAAGCCATAATGCTCTCGCGTTAAACGAAGCCTTGTGCTGACACACACGGTCGTTACTAGTTCCCGAACTAGCTGGATTACTTGCGGTTTCCATTAAGAAATTCACGCGGCCTATTGTGCCGAATGATCAACCTTCGAGACGATCCAAATCCGCGACCTATTTCCCGCCATTTTGGATCGCAGAATGCGACGCGTATTCCAAAGAAAACACGCTCGTTAATCGTCGCGTTCGAATACTCCAACTCCGAATGTTCGGTTGAATTTTCGATTAAAGACGCGGGGCACTTTACGTCAATGTTCTTCCTCGAAATGAACTCGCGTTATATGCGAACGAACACGCAGCAATTCACAATATTCTCGGTAAGAAAAATAAACACCTATTCGCGTTGGATTCTTTGTAGATTCGATTTCGTAAGGTTGCGGAGATTTGGGGTTTGTGCGAAATTTAGAAATTTGCGAAGTCAGGAATTTAGGAATTAACAAATTTTACCCCTTGCCATACTTTGACGAGTCTCACTCGTGCCACACTCACATAACCTTGTCCAAAATTTTGAATACTCTTCAACTTGAAATTTATGTCCAACTACAATTTGTATGGTCAAGGATCGCTGAATAGAAAATGCTCCAAACATTTTAATTTTCTTCGTTTTAATATTATAACTATGAATAGTTAGTTTTGACTGACGCATCTGGCAAATAAATTATAAGGCTTAAGAGTTTAGATGTTCGAAAACTTAGCAAAGTCGGTCAATCTGACAATCCAGAAATTTAGCAGTTCAAGAGAGTGCAAAGCTTACCCAGCAAAGTAAACGTGTACTTTAAAAATCGAATTTGCACACGGTAAAATCCGGGAGAATTTGGGGAAAGGGACACTTCCCGGAATTCCCTATCAGCGAAAAAACAAGGAGGGCACTGCGATTCGAGAGAGGAGTATATGTCTGTCTAACGACACCGGTGGCTGACTTCTCTCCCGAAACAAGAAAGGGACGATTTGACGCTCAATCAACCGACGAAAGCTAATTTTCATTAGCTGTTAATAGCGCTGAACGGTCTTCCGTCTGTCCAACCCTCTCCCCTGTTCTCTCACCCCTTTCGCCCTTTTCTCTCACTTTATCTATGGCCTCGTTTCGACGATTTCACTCGATGCTCCGCGAACCAAGTAGCAGACGAGCCTCTCCGAGTTAATCCCGAAGGACGTAAACCGTTTTAAAAATATCCTGTCAGCGGGTGGGGGTTCGTTAAGGCTTAATTAGCAATTCGACTTTAATCAAATGTAATACTTGAACATTGGCCAATGATCATAGCAGCGGAGGTCCATATAAAATCAATCAATTAAAGAATACATTTTCTATCCCTTAGATTTCTGTAACTCAAGTATTTTATCAAGTATAATATCAAGTATTTTCAAAGAACAAACAATCTGAGGTGTTTCACAAAGGGATTTCGCGAAAAACGACAGAAGAATTTATTTGGGTAGCAGACTATGCAGCAGCTATTATCAATTTTGCACGAACAATTTCAGGGCGGAACAAAAAATTCCCCTCTTTTTTGCACGTCGAATACGCCACCTCTTACAATAGCCGGGAAACGGGAATTTAAAAGTATAATCGACTCGTGCACGCCCTGCGAAATACTTTTCACCGTCGAGCGAATCTTTTCCCGTTTCATAAAATGGAACGAAAAATGAAACAACAGAAGTTTTCGAAGATCATGAAGCTTGTCATCGCGTTTTCGGGCAAAAAAGGAATCGCAGTCCCCTTTAACCTCTTCAATAGTCCGTGTGACACTCCGGCTCCTGGGTCTCCTTGGCAACCATCCCGATTGAAACGCGTGTCAGTCGGCAAGACGGTGTGTAAGAGAGAAGAAAAAAGGAAGAGAGGCTGGAGAGACGAAAAGTGGCGGCAGAAAATCTCAAACTTCGAACCGGCAATTCGAGGACGGGTGCTTGAATAAGAATCACCGATTCTACACGATCGATGAGACATGAGACGACTATTTTTTTTCGGTAACATAGCCTCGTTAGACTTTATGACTTTATTGAGACGTTGAAAATGTTTGCATCGAGTATTTTTATTATTTTTATTCCATCAAGTATTTGTCTTAACAGCAGTAATAATTATGGCTACCAAGAAAAGCACTCGCGTTTAGAAAACAAATTTTAATCACAATGATATAATGATAGAAAATAGTTTGCTAAGAAAAATGATAATAAAAGAAGAAGAAGAGGGAGAATTTGGTGAAAAGGAAATTAATTTCAGTTAACAAGACCGAAGGATATTTTGTGAGCTCCGAATTCGCGGTTAGAGAATTGGTCAAAGAGCGCACGGATCATCGAATAACGACGCTTACTTTGGTCGACGAACGAAGTTGCCGAAGGAAACCATTTCCTCCGGCTTTTTCCGGCATTTCAAAGAAGCAATTTACCGATTTTTCGTGGCGACGCGACGTCGAGGAAAATTGGCGCACGAGCGGCCAATCAACAGCGTTTCATGCAGGTCCGCGGCTACGAGTTCAGAAAATTCTTTCGCTCGACTTTGCTGAGACGTGGAACAAGCATCCTCGAAAGCGTCCACTTCGTTTCTAATTCCGAATTAAGTGACAAATGTCTTCTGGATGTCATGAAAGGGCTGATTATTTTTTCACTTTGAAGCTACTGAATTTATTTTTAGATAAACAAATTTTTAAATATGTGGATTTGTGCAGGTTTATGTTTTGAAGTTGCTGAATGTTCTAATTTTTAAGATTCTATGTTCTTATGTTTACAAGAACTCAAATTAGCAAATTCTCAAAATTCCAAATTTCCACTCTCCCAAATTCCTAATCTGTCAAATTCCAAATCACTCAAATTCCCACTCTCTCAAATTCCCAATCTCCCAAATTCCCACTCTCTCAAATTTCCACTCTCCCAAATTCCCAATCTCCCAAATTCAATGTTCTAATTTTTAAGATTCTATGTTCTTATGTTTACAAGAACTCAAATTAGCAAATTCTCAAAATTCCAAATTTCCACTCTCCCAAATTCCTAATCTGTCAAATTCCAAATCACTCAAATTCCCACTCTCTCAAATTCCCAATCTCCCAAATTTCCACTCTCCCAAATTCCCACTCTCCCAAATCCCCAATCTCCCAAATTCCAAATCTCCCAAATCCCCAATCTCCCAAATTTCCACTCTCTCAAATTCCCAATCTCCCAAATTTCCACTCTCCCAAATTCCCAATCTCCCAAATCCCCAA